TACAATTTATATTTCAGAAGTGTCACTTTGACTATGTGTAGACTGGACTAGGACAGAAGTTGAAGCAGAAAGCCAGATAGGAGACCTGGTCATTGGATTCCCTAGGCTTGAGAGGTGAGTAATGGAAGATTCTGGATATATATGTAAGAAGGCTGATTGAATTTGCCATCAAAGTAGATATCAGGTATGTTAGTTTCCTAGGGCTCCTTAAACAAATAACTATAAATTGGGTGGCTTAACACAACAGGAATTTATTTTCTTCTAGATACTGAAAGTTGGAAATCAAGGTGTTGGCAGGCTACGTTCCCTCCAGAATCGAGACAGGAATCTTTTCTTGCCTCTTTCTAGCATCTGGTGGCTGTTGCAAATTCTTGGCCTTCCTTGACTTGTAGGAACACCTTTCCAATCTTTGGCTCTGTCATCATATGGCCATTTCCATGTATATTTTCTGTGTCTGTGTCCCAAATCTCCCTTTCCTTATAAAGATGCCAGTCCCACCCTAATCCAAAGTGAGCTCATCTTAACTTGATTATATCTGCAAAAACTATTTCCAAAAAAGGTCACATTCACAGGTACCAGGGGGTTAGCAATTGAATATACCTTCTTGGGGAACAAGTTCAACCTACAACATGGGGTGAGAAAAGGAAACAGATGAATGAATGATGATGCTAAGAATTTTTAGCATGAGTCACCAGAAGAGTGACTCTTCTGTCATTCATTGTAATAGAGAAGATATATTGAGGAGGAGATTTGGGCTGGGAAGACAAAAGTTCTATAATGGAGATTGTAAGTTAGATGTGGTTGTTAGCATCTAAGTGGGGCTCTCTGCTTCAATTTGATGTACCCAGAAAGTTCAGGGAGAGGTGAGGTGCGGAGAAAGAAATTTGGAGCAGATGAGATCTCCTAGAGAGTGGATCCAGATCAAGAAAACAAGAGCCTTAAGACAATCAGGGACCAACAGATGAGTGTGTAACAAATGTGGTAGGGAGAGAGAGCGCATAATGAGCAAGTGTTTTGTAAAAGTCAAAGCCATAAACATTTTCTAGAGAGTTGCCAATGCATCAAGTAAGGTAAGAACTCAGGGAGAAGTATGTCACTTTTTGTTTGTTCTTCCCACTCAAGTAATATATATTTTCACTTTGAATTCTTTCCATGAGATGGTTTATGCTAAACAAAAATAAAGTAGTATCTTCCTTCTCTGAATTCCCATTTTACTTTGGTCCCAGTTCCACCAGCTACTCCTAAAGATACTGTATCTTTATTATTTGGTGGTACCTGAGGCTTCTTTACTACTCTTGTGTCAAGGGCCTGTATTTCAATCCTTGTACAAGAAGAAAATACATCTTGGTCATCCATTTATGTCTTCATCAAGTAACTGTGTAGGCAGGTTGGTGAGAGACCATGCTTTTCCATCTGTATATCAAATATTTCTTAAATGCCAAGCTGGCATTGAAGAAGTTTTCATTATAATCAACACTGCTTCCTCAGAGTTGGGTTTTATTAGAATTGGGTCGGGGTGCCTGGGTGGCTCAGTCGGTTACGCGTCCAGCTTTGGCTCAGGCCATGATCTCACAGTTCGTGTTTTTGAGCCCCACATTGGGCTCTGTGTTGACAGCTCAGAGCCTGGAGCCTGCTTTGGATTCTGTGTCTCCCTCTCTATCTGCTCCTTCCCTGCTTGCTCTCTGTCTCTTTCTCTCTCTCAAAAATAAATAAACATTAAAAAAAAAAAAAAAAAAGATTTAGGTTGAGGGCTTGCATGTGTCTTGATGCAGAGCCACCCAGGGGCGCTATTGTGACCTGAGCTGATGAACTGCAGTCCTCTAACACATAGTAAAAGAGACTGAAATCTACAGCAAAAGATTTTATAAGCAAAGATAGGACAAATCTTCATGTAATATTTAGAAACGAAGCTTTTGAAGTTTTTGCTATAATTCAAGGCTCTACAGAATTCAAGCGAATAATAAACATAGGGACTAGAGTTGACCCGTGAGCAACACAGGTTTAAATGGCACAGGTCCACTTACACACAGATTTTTTTTCCTATTAATACAGTAGTGAGAATGTAATTTGTAATTTTTTAAATAACATTTTTCTCTAGTTTACTTTTTTAAATAAGAATACAGTATAAAACATAACAGACGAAATATGTGCTAATGTCTCTATGTTATCAGCAAGGCTTCTGATCAACAGTAGACTATAAATAGTTAAGTTGTGGGGAAGTCAAAAGTTAATATGTATTTTCAACCACAGGGAAAGGGGTGGGGGTCGGTGCCCCTAGTTTCATGTTGTTTCCACTGTGTTTTAGAAATTTAGAAGAAAAGTAACCTAAAGTGGTATAGAAGGAATGGAGAATGATAGTATAACAAAGTACCTAATGTTGCAATAGATACAGCTATGTTTTCAAGATGACGATGAAGAAACATAGCAAGAAATTGGAAATGTGCACAGCCGTATGGGGACTGTCAAAAGAGTGTCCTAAAACCAGCCACATGAAGATCAGTGTCAGAAGGTATTTGTTGGAGACTAGTGAGTGGAAAATTGGGTAAACTGGGTACATCATGCTAATGTAAAGGTTTATTACTGGGCTACCGTTTTGATTTTTCCATGTCAGTAATAAATAGGGCATGGTGGAGGTTAGGTTTTCTAAATTTCTTTAAGTAGGCATTGTAGGAATAATAAGGTATAGCCAGATGTTTTAAGTAAAACTAAAGGCAAACTTGCCAGAGTCTTGATTAAAGAGGAAGGTGGTACATTAGGATCCCTTAAACAATACCCCATAACTTAACTATTAATAGTCTACTGTTGACTAGAAGCCTTGCCGATAACATAGAGTCTAGAATTAAGGAAGATGCTGTTAGTGGCAAGATCTATCAGGGACAGTGAAATTGGAGAAATTCCAGTATGACTTCTGTGCAGATACCATGTGATGAAGAAGGTGACAGTTCCCACATCTGGTACAGCAGCAGATATGCTTCTAGAGATGACCGTGCCCCACTGGCATGTTGTAAAAGTCTGTAAGGATCAGCGTGTCCCATTTTCTGGGGGAACATATGAGAATGTGTCACAGCTAGTTACAAGGTTAGAGTGTTTGGGAAAGATCGTTTGATGATGGTCTGCGTAATGAACAAGAATGATGTAGCAACAGGATGAGCACCCTGAGTCTGTTAGAATTTTCTTGAAATCAGATTCTGTGCATTCAACATTCTGACTTGTCTTTGGGATATTTGTTCTAACACTGGGTCTGCTTATTTCTTTTATCAGTGTGGTAGGTGTTTGGGTCTCTTCAGCAGTTTCTAAGAGTACCAAAGCCCTATATGTTGAAATGACTAAGCTCTTAGTCTTGTGCCTTCATCTGCTTTCAGTTTTCACCTTCCTGGAATGTAATTCCACCCAACACTCTGACCTTAGTAATATTTACATACTGATGCTTTCCATATATCTTCATTCAAGATCTCTCTCGAGTTTCATATATATCTAACTGGGTTTTCCATGTCTGTACTTAGATATCTAATAATTATCTCAAAGATGATGTGCTTCAAAATGCACTTGTTCTCCTCCTATTTGAACTTAAACAACATCCTCATCTTATTAAAAGGCATTACCCACTTACCCATTAGCGCAAGCCAAATACTCAGGAGAATCTTTGATTTCCTCATGTTACTTATCTGCAGATAAATCCAATAATGGGTTTTATCCATTCTTCAAAACATCCAGATTTCTTCCACTTTTCATTCACTTTGCTTCCTCAAACTAGGGTCACATTTGCAACTGCCTACTTTATTCTTTTTCTTGCATGTTATTCTATTTCTCTTTCCATCCTTAGAGTAGGAGTTCAGTGAAAATAAAGAGTATCTTTGTATTTCTCCAACACTAACATCATAGGTGGTATATGGAAGTAGCCACTTAAGAAGGATGTATTGAATGAGTGGATTTTGTCTCTTACCATTTTGAATCAGGTATCCCTCCAACCTCTCTGATCTGATGCTGATAATGATTTCCTTGTATTTTACTGTCTCCAAAGCCTTACTTATAAAGCAGTCAATTCTTGATTTGTTGTGAATTTACCCTAAATGACAGATAGCTGTCATCTTTTGGTCTGCTTTATTTATACTATTTTTAAACATTTCTAACAGATAAGAAGTTATTGTTTAATGAGTACAGAGGTTTTTTTTTTTGATGGGGGGGATAAAAATGTTCTAGAGATGGATGGAGGTGATGGATGCACCAGTGTGAATGTACTTAATGACACAAAAGTGCACACTTAAAAATGGTTAAAATGGTAAATTTAATCTTATGTGTATTTAGCTACAATTTTAAAAGCTTTTTTTTTTTTTTTTTACAAAAAGAGATAAGGAATACGTTTATAACAATATGCTTGGAATTTCTTTTATGTTGATACTAAAAGTTCCACTAAAGAGCCAGCCTACCCACAGTACTTTTGAAGCAGTTTTATTCCCTATGATGTTCATGGAAAGATTCACTATTCTCTTCTTTCCTAGAAATTGAGAAAGCTGATGATCATCTGCTTCAGCACTTACAAAACCCAAAAATGCCAAAGAGGATAGAACAGTGTTATGAACTGAACATATGTGGAAAGATTATTCATCAGAGCGAAAGTCATTTTCCTTTGAGGCCGAATCATGAGAGGTTTCATTTGCATGGATTGAAGCCACACTTAATCACCCAAAGTAGAAGCTGTGACATAAAAGAGCCTGCTGAGTCTAGTGGAGATGGAAGATCCATTCTCTGTGCTAATCACAAGCAAACTTACACTGAAATTAAATTCCATGAAAGTAGAAGACCCACCAGCACTAAGTCACAGTTCCTTAAACATCAGCAAATACACAAAATAGAGACAGCCCACGAATGTCCTGAATGTGGGAAAGCCTTCCTCAAGAGGTCTCGGCTCGCAGAACATAAGAGAATTCATACAGGAAAGAAACTCCATGGATGTGGTGTATGTGGGAGAGCCTTCTCCAAGAAGTTCAAGCTCACTGAACACCAGCGAGTTCACAAAGGAGAGAAGCCCTATGAGTGCTGTGAGTGTGGGAAAGCCTTCCTCAGGAAATTTCAGCTCACTGAACATCAGAAGACTCATACAGGAAATAAACCCCATGGATGCAGTGTATGTGGGAAAGCATTCTCCAGAAAGTTCAAGCTGACTGAACACCAGAGAACTCACACAGGAGAGAAACCTTATGAATGTACTGAATGTGACAAAGCCTTCTGCAGGAAGGCAGAACTCATTATACATCAGAGAAATGAAAGAGGCGAAAGGCCCCATCAATGCAATGAATGTGGAAAAGGTTTTGCCAGAAAATCACAACTCATTCTACATCAGAAAACTCATACAGGAGAGAAATCTTATATATGCAGTGAATGTGGAAAAGGTTTCATTCAGAAGGGCAATCTTCTTATACATCAGAGGACTCATACTGGAGAGAAACCCTATGGATGCACTGAATGTGGTAAGGCCTTCAGCCAGAAGGCCTGCCTCATAGCACATCAGCGATTTCATACAGGAAAGACTCCCTTTGTATGTAGTGAATGTGGAAAATCTTGTTCACAGAAATCAGGACTCATTAAACATCAGAGGATTCACACAGGAGAGAAACCCTATAAATGCAATGACTGCGGGAAAGCCTTCACTACAAAGACCATGCTCACTGTCCATCAAAGAACTCATACAGGAGAGCGACCCTATGGCTGCAATGAATGTGGGAAAGCTTTCTCGCACATATCATGCCTTGTTAAACATAAGAGGATACACATAAGAAAGGAACACATAGAGTCAGTGAAGGTTGAATATCCTCCCACAGAGGGTCAAGGCTTATTAGATACTAGTGAACTCATGCAGGGGAAAAGCCCTGTTAGTATAGCGACTGTGCAAATGCCTTCTGCGATCCCTCAGATCTCATTAACCACCAGTGGGCTTCTCACCGATAGGAGTGTGGTCCTAGTGGGACAGCCAGTTGCCAGATGTACACCTTCAGGAAATAACGGAGAATTTGGACAGGAGAGAAACCTTATGAATGCAGTGAATGTGGTTGTGCCTTCAGTCAATTACATCTTATTTTATGTCACACAAAACATCTAGGAAAAAACTGGTACATTCAGTTTGGAAAAGCCTTGAGCAATAATGTCTAGCTGATGATATGGTTATATACAGACAAAAAGCCCATGAGTGCAGAGGCTAGGAAAGCTGTGTTTTTAGAAGACTGACCCTGTCTGTCATCAGTGATCACCATAGCTCATCAGGGAACTTACAGTGAGTAGAGATATGGCAAAGTGGAAAAGTCTTTACCCTTAATATGTGTCAGTTCACACTGAGGAGAAACAGAAGGCAGTCAATGTGGGGCACCTGGGTGGCTCAGTTGGTTGAACATCCAACTTCAGCTCAGGTCATGATCTCACAGTTCGTGAGTTCAAGCCCTGAACTGGGCTCTGTGCTGACAGCTCAGAGCCTGGAACCTGCTTCGGATTCTGTGTCTCCCTCTCTACCCATCTTCCACTAGTGTGCACACGCTTTCTCTGTCTCTCAAAAATAAATATTAAAAAAGGGCAGTGAATGTGGCAGGGATTTCACTGGTACATTCTGCCTCATCTGTTAGCAGGTAAAATCACAAGAGAAATAAAATTCTGTTTATCCACTAAATGTGGAATTCCTTTAACGAAATACTAAAGTTCTTGTGAAACAAAGAAGGTTTGTAAAGATGAGGAATGTGTGAGAGCTTTATGTGCCTTTTCTAACTTGACCTATATGTCACATAAGATACCTGATACACATTTTCAGACAGGGTACCTTGAACCACATTCCTAGTTACCATATTAGTGATTCTATAATTTAGAGGAGATTGTCTCTGCCCTAAATCACTGGCTAACATTATCACATATTCACTTTTCCCATTTGTGGATTTTTTTTTTTTTAATTTTGTTTTAGAGAGAGTACACCCATGTGAGCTGGGGGTAGGGGCAGAGGAAGAGAGAGACTCTCAAGCATGACCCTGTGATCATGACCTCCACTGAAATCAAGAGTTGGAAGCTCAACCAACTAAGCCACTCAGATTTAGAGCAGGGCCAGGAAGAAATAATAAAACAGGGCCAGAAAGGACCAAGTAATCTCAGGTGCTCCTCTTTCTCTTTTTCTAAAATTCTTTTAAGTTCTAAATTTCTTCAATATCAAATGATTACCTGTTCCATTTCTTTGGCTCTAGATTTATTATTTCAGGCAACTGAAGTCCTTAAAAAAATAAATGAATATATTAAACTCATGAATATAATTTAATGTTCTTTGATGAATTTAAGTTCAATTTAAAAATAAGCAATCATTATACAATGTCACCATAAAAGTGATTTTTAAAATTTTCTAGACCTGAAAAAGAGAAACCAGCTTTGCAAAATGAACTAAAAGCCCAAGTACAATTAGTAATTTAAACCTATACATTAGGTAATAAAATATATTCCAATGCAGCTCTCAGTAATTTTTTTGAAAACATGAAAAAGTTGGGGCACCTGGGGGCTCAGTCGGTAAAGCGTCTGACTTTGGCTTGGGTCACGATCTCGCAGTTTGTGAGTTTGAGCCCCACATCGGGCCCTGTGCTGACAGCTCAGGGCCTGGAGCCTGCTTCATATTCTGTGTCTCCCCCTTTCTCTGCCCCTTCCTTGCTTGTGCTCTGTCTCTGTCTCTCAATAATAAAAGTTAAAAAATTAAAAAAAAAAAAACATGAAAAAGGCAATTTGAACACAAATTAGGAGGATTACTTCCATCCTAGCTCTCCTCCTCCCTTCCCTGGTTGTTGACATTATTCTCAGAATGGTGGGAATCTGAAGTTCTCAACTCCTGGATAACTATCCAGTTGCCTTCCCTTGGAGGTAGTACCCTGTCTAACTCTAACTTTTGCCTCATTGATGGAACCACCCCAACATTCTTCCTGGCACCTATTCCCATTTTCTTTCAACTCAGAGGGACTGTGAGTCCTACAAACATGAGAAAGACAAAAGTAGGTCTTCATGGAATCAACCTTAGACTGGTATCTCATGCTCCACGAAGCCAGAGAGACTTGGAACTGGACCTGGAGTAGGCATAGAAGCTCTGGAAGAGTAGGCTGAATCTAGTGCTGGAATTACTGAAGGCTGGTAACCAGCCTGGAAAATATTTTTGGAATCTGCTATGTATAATTATTTAAATGTAGTCAGGGGTAATCATAGGGGCTGGCATAAAACATACAGGAAGAGGTTCGGACCAAATCCACTGGTGAAAAACCTGAAAAAGCATGAGGTCAGGTCTCAGGGAGAAACTAAAGGTAGAGGACTGTCAGACCAGGTATTTGGATGGTATTTAGACACGTGATTTTTTTTTTAATGACATAAACACCACTAGAATCACTTGGAGAGAACATTTCAATTGTTAAAGATTTTGATATGGAATATAAAGACCTTGGGTCACGTATAAACATCAATTTCAAATACAAACCATATTACAGTATCAGCTTTATGCTCAAGTGTAAGGTCTTGAATGTAAATTATATACTGTAACTGTATAAGCTTCATGAGGGTAAGGAACTTCTGATAACCTCTGTATACAAGATGTCTAGAATATGTGATATAGAGTAGGCACTCGATACACATTGTTAGTTGACTGAATCCCATCCAATAAGCTAAGATTTAAAGCAGGGCCAGGAAGAAATTAACTAATTAAATAATAAAACAGGGCCAGAAAGGACCAAACTTTTCAAGTAACCTCAATGTATCCCAACAAAACAAGCTTCAAGAATATTTGTAAGAGTGGTACCTGGGTGGCTCAGTTGGGTATGCATCAGACTCTTGTTTTTGGCTCAGGTCATGATCTCAGTTTGTGGGTTCGAGCTCCAAATTGTGTCCTGCGCCGACAGTGTGAAGCCTGCTTGAGCTTCTCTCTCTGCCCCTCTACCTCCCATTCTCTCTCTCTCTCAAATAATTTTTAAAAATATAAGAGTGTAATATATCCTGATATCCCCTGCTGTACCTACTCGCTCATAATCCTATAATAAAGTCGACAGTGTCAATCCAACCAAAATTTACCAGGCAGGAAAATGTGACCAGTATTCAAAGACACCAATCAAAATGACTTAAAACTGACATCAATGCTAGACTGAATGAACAAGGACATTGTAACTGTATAAACAGTTATAGTTGTATTGCATTAGATAACAAAGAGGAATGATTAACATGTTAATGACAACAATGTCTTGGGTTGGTAAGATATGTAATACATTTTCATATTTTATAAACCCTCCCAGAATAGTGTTGTTTGTTCACTATCTTATTCAGAGAGTTAGCAGTTTCCACTAGGCATTCCTCACAATACCTCTTTTACCACTTGGCTAAGAACATAAGGCCTTTCTCTTTTAAGTTCAGGTTCTTGAACAATTTCTCTCTTTTTAATAAAAGCTTTTCTCATGCTTGAATTTGTACTTCAGCTTCTTTTGCTTTGTCAAAGATCACTGATCTTTTGCATATACAAATAGGGTAATCTACTGTTCCTAGTTTTTTACTCCTTCTACCCCCACACCTGTTTTTCATTTTGTTTTTTGTTTTGTTTTGTTTTTTCATTTATTTCTGAGAGTGAGAGAGACAGCATGAGCAGGGGAGGGTCAGAGAGAGAGGGAGACACAGAATCCGAAGCATGCTCCAGGCTCCGAGCTAGCTGTCAGCACAGAGCCCGACGCGGGGCCCGAGCCCACGAACCGCGAGATCATGACCTGAGCCGAAGTCGGAAGCTCAACCGACTGAGCCACCCAGGCGCCCCTGTTTTTCATTTTGGTTTGTATTGCTGTGTCTTTTCAGTTCACTATTTTTTTCTTATACAATATCTACTCTGCCAAGGGGCACCTGGGTGGATCAGCCAGGTAAGCGTCTGACTTTAGCTCAGGTCATGATCTCTCGGTCCGTGGGTTTGAGCCCCATTTTGGGCTCTGTGCTGATAGCTCAGAGCCTGGAGCCTGCTTCGGGTTCTGTGTGTGTGTCTCTCTCTCTGTCCCCACCCCCCTGATCACACTCTATCTCTCTCTCAAACATAAATATTGAAAAACAATGTCTATTCTGCCATCAATCTCATCAAAAGTATGTTTTCTAGTTTTTATCTCTAGAAATTTAAATTGAGCCTTTCTCTTAGATCTTTCATATCTCTATTTAACATGGGTTATTTTTTTGGGTCTGCATGGCTCAGTCAGTTGAGTTTCTGACTTTGGCTTTGTCATGATCTCAGGGTTCATGGGTTCAAGCCCCACACTGGGCTCTGTGCTAATAGCTCAGAGCCTGGAGCCTGCTTCAGATTCTGTGTATGTCAAAATAAATAAATAAACAAACATTAAAAAAAAACATGGTTTGCTTTTTTTTTTTTTAATTTTTACTTAAGTAATCTCTACAAACTCACAACCTTGAAATCAAGAGTCACATGCTCTACCAAATGAGCCAGCCAGGCATCCCAACATGGTTTACTTTTAATCTAATTGTGACAGTATTTAAAATGAGTTTTCAGCATTTAAAGTGCTTGGTTCAGTTAAGCATCCAATTCGATCTTGGCTCAGGTCATGGTTTGTGAGTTTGAGCCCTGTATCCGCCTGGATCTCAATCACCTTTTCTCTCTCTCAAAAATAAATATATTTTAGGGGCCCCTGAGTGCCTCAGTTGGTTAAGCGCCCGAATTCGGCTCAGGTCACCATCTCATGGTTCATGGGCTCGAGCCCTACATCGGGCTCTGTGCTGATAGCTCAGAGCCTGGAACCTGCTTCAGATTCTGTGTCTCCCTCTCTCTCTGCCCCTCCCCTGCTCATGCTCTGTTTCTGTCTCAAAAAGAAATAAACATTTAAAAAAATAAAGCTATTTTAAATAGTAAGTTTCTAGTAGGCAGCATATAGTTAAACCTAGTTTTTTTGTTTTTTTAATATAGTTGACAATCTCTTTTTTTTACTGGGGTATTTAGGTCGTTCATAAGTAATGTGGTTATGTTCAAACTAATAATGTGCAATTTGTTATTTATCCCATCTGGTTTTGCTCCCCTTTTTGTCTTTTTCTACCTTCTTTTGGAATAGCTATGTTTTATATTATTTATATTTTGTTGGCTCATTAGGCATAACCTTGTTATTTAAGTGGTTCCTTTGAGTTTACAGAATGCATCATTCACTTAACAGTGTATCTTCAAGTTATGACACCTTTTCAAGTGTAGTACTAGAATCTTGTAATCGTATACCTTCAGTTTTCTGTAGCGAGATCAGCTACATTGAAGAGATTATCTTGTGCTTGCTCCTGGGACACTTTTTTTTTTTAACCCTGGGTTACATTTTTAGGGGATGTAATTTACATAATTACACATTAACATTCCTAACTCCGTATACTTTTGGAATCTTTACAAAATATGAAGAAATTTCTGGCGTTTAAATTTTAGGCCAGGAAACTGAGTCAGGTTTCATTCAACCAAGGAAGCAAACTGTCAAGCCATTCTAACTGAGCTCCTTCCGTTGACCGCTAACAACGGCTAGCCAATTTCCCCTACACAAATCATACCTAGAGCTCTACGATTCTTTTTACCTACTCTCTGACCAATGCCTTTTTCAGCGGTTCTCTAAACCCTAGACTGGCCTGAAATGCCACTTTGTCCACAAAGCCCCCTCTAGCCAGCATTCCCAGGACCCTAGCCCGTTCCCCTCCAACTGCTGTTCCCTGCGGCTCGGGCTCCCTCCCTGCTGAACTTCTACGCTGGCTGCGCCCACTCGGCCTCTCCCTAGCCTTTAAACCAAAGTGTCAAAGTCCGCCACCTCCTCGGCCCATTCTGAGAAGAGTTCTGGGCAGGCCCGAGTTTCTGAAAAGCTAAGCAGTTGATGCACTGCCCATGGTGAAAGTTGCAAATTCGGGGCCCAGTGGGTCAAGTGGCCTGGAGATAAAGTGAAATAAAGAGTTTTCAATAGCTTCTCACCGTCTCGGGCCTTCCCTCGAAAGGCAGAAAAAGAGGACCCCCGCCGTAGGGCATTAGCTGGGGAACTGGCTGCTCGCTTCAAGCAGCCTGGAGCGGGCGCTGCAAGATGACGTCACAGAGGCGAGCCCAGCGTCAGAGTCCGGGTCTCGGGAACGACGCGCACTGGCCCTCGTCGGCCGCCATCCTCTACGTTTCTGAGGGTCTGTCAGTGGCTGTGGTGGGGTTCGGTGGTCTGTGGACACAGAGGCAAAGTGTTTAGGCAAGTGGTTTTCTCCAGTGACGAGGAGCGAGGCCATCGCTAGGTCAGTGTTGGTTCTAGGCGTGTTTTGGGGCCAGGGAGAGCTCGTTAGTTTTTTTTGTGTTTTTGTTTTGTTTTGTTTTTGGTCAAGGAGCGCGTGGTGGGGGGGTCGGTGTTAGGCGAAGCGAGTGGGAATTCTCGCTGGGATGTTCTGTGTTGGAGGATCAGGTGGGGGTTCCGTGTTGGGACGAGCACTTGGCGAGAGTAGGGGGTGTCTGTGGTTGGGGGAAGCGGGAGTCGTGTCCGTGTTGGTGACAGCGTTTGGCGAGTTCCGTTGTTGATGCTTTTCACATCCTTACTTTTAAAGATGGGGTTTCTGGCCCATTGCGTCCATGTTTACTGTATATGCTTATTGGAAATATATGTTTTGTTTTATTTCCTACCCATGTAATGACATGCTCAAACTCCTACGTACTCCAGAAAATAACTCTTGTTAAAATACAGCGTATTTCACTTTTAGTGTTGGGATCAGTTTTGTGTAGGTAATTGGCATGATTTTGTCAGCTGTTTCCGTGTTACTAACTCTTTGGAAGTCGTCGTCTTCGTCTTCTTCTTCTTCTTCTTCTTTTCTTTTTAAATTACTGCAGTTATGGTACATCAAGTTTTGGGTAGAACTGGTGTGTGTTAGGTCCACTACTTTCAGGAGCATGTGATGGATTTAACCCAAGTGTTAAAAAAGGGTTTGACCAGCTGTGGTAGTGGTTTTCCACATGTGTCTTAGACAGGTCTGGTTATGTTTATTGCTAAATAGTTTACACTGTTGTAGTAATGGTAAATGGTGTTGTTTTCTTCATATGACTCCACTCCCTCTTTGTTCTTTCTTCTAATTTTATATAATGCCCAAGAGCAAAACTTTAAAAGATACACTTATTCTGTCACCTCGGTCTACTACTGTTATTGCTACCAGCTTCTAAATCGATTCCTTTGTATTTTCTAGTTGACTGTTTTTGTTATCTGCAAATAATTTTGGCCAGGTGGCAAGTGTATGGACTGTGGAGTAAGAAGAACCTGCTTCAGCCTCTTGACTTAGGTAGGTCAGTGCCTGAGTCAGTTTCTTCATTTGTGAAAAAGCTATTGTAATTCCTAGTTCATAGTGTTGTTACGAAGATTAAATTAGTAGATGCTCTTTAAATGCAAAGTGTAGTGCCCGGCACCTAGTCTAGTCTGAATAAATGGTAACTATGATTTATCAAGTTTTTATTCCTTTTTCTCAAAGATTCCCCTCCCCCAGCTTTATTGAGATATAATTGATGTATAACATTCTGTAAGTTTAAGGTATACAACTGTGTTGATTAATATACTTATATATTGCAAAATAATTATTACCATAGGTTAGCTAACACTTGCATCATGTCGCATAATTACTATTTCTTTTATGTGGTAAAAACATTTAAGATCTACTCGCTTAGATCTTAAAGCTTTCATTTATATAATACAGTCTTAACTGTAATCACTATGCTGTACATTAAAGCCTCTCAAATCACTTTATAAAATTATTTTCATTTATATTTTTCTTCTCTCTAATATTTGCTTTATAGATAGCTAGATTTCCCTGTGTCTATATTCCTGGAAGAAACCATACCATGCCATGATTTGTTCTTTTAATATGTGGTTGGGTTTTATTTGCTAATATTCTACTTAGTATTTTTGTGTCTAGAAATAAAAATGTCTTGGATTTGCTTTAGAATAATCCAGTGGTAGAGGTAGATGAGTGGTTGTGTAGATCATACAAAATTAGGTTTGGGTTGCTAATTATCGAAGACACGTAATGGATATGAGGAATTTGATTATACCATTCTTTCTTTGTACATGGGGTTTAATTATACTGTTTCTTCTTCTTTGGCTTGGAATTTTTCATAGTAAAATTAAAAAATATTTGCTTCTACATTTATAAGTGAAACTGAGCTGTACTTTTCTTTAAGAGTATTTTGCAAGTAGAGATGCCTGGGTGAGTCAGTCAGTTAGTTAAGTGTTCAAATCTTGATTTCAGCTCAGGTCATGATCTTACAGTTCGTAAGTTGGAGCCCTACCTGGGGCTTACTGCTGTCAGCAAGATTCGTGAATCTAAGCCCCGACTGGGCTTTGTGCTGGCAGTGTGAAACCTGCTTGGGATTCTTTCTCACTCCCTCTTTCTGCCCCTCCCCTGCTCGTGCTCTCTCTCTCTCAAAAATAAATAAATAAATACACTTAAAACATTTCTTTAAAGGGCGCCTGGGTGGCTTAGTTGGTTGGGCGTCCGACTTTCACTTGGGTCATGATCTCGTGATTCGTGGGTTCGAGCCCCGCGTCGGGCTCTGTGCTGACTGCCAGCTCAGAGCCTGGAGCCTGTTTCAGTCTGTGACTCCCTCTCTCTCTGACCCTCCCCTGCTCACGCTGTCTCTCTCTCTCTCCTAGAAATAAATAAAACATTAAAAATTAAAAAAAAAAACATTTCTTCAAAGTATTTTTCAAGTATAACATGAAAAATGAAAAATAAGATATTATAGCACCCTAGGAGCGCCATTTCATCCTAATCTCCTTCCTCTCTAGAGGTATTCTTATCCTAAAAACATACTAAATTTTCCTGGCTGTTAACTTTATGCAGATGGAATGATAGGGTACCTGCCTTTTGTATCTGGCTTCTTTTGCTTAATATTTTGTTGTGAAATTCATCTAATTTCTTGCATATAGCAGTAGTTCATTTCTTTCGTTGTCGTATAGTATTCTTTGGTGTGATCTTACTATTTATCCATTCTCCCGTTAATAGACATTTAGGTTGTTACTGATTGTATCTATTATGAATAATGCTGACAAGAACATTTTTGTACTTTTTGGTGATAAAAGCTGTATTGGGTATACACTTAGTAGAATTCCTGAAGTATAGTGTCTCCTAGATACAAGGAGAAATGACAAATGCCCAGTGATAATGGAAAGTTCTTAGCACACCTCTCTCAGTGACAGAGAACAAGGAGAGAAAAAGCTAGAAGGCTATAGTTTAACAGTGGTCAGCAAACTTTCTGTAAAGGGAGTGAGAGAGTAAATATTTTAGCCTCTGCAGGCCAGATGGTCTGTCTGCACCTGCTCAACTCTGCCATTGTAAGATGCAAGTAGCTGTAGAGAATACATAAACAACTGGGTATGGGCATGTTCTGGAATAACATTATTTGCAAAATCAGGTCACCTGGGGCACCTGGGTGGCTCAGTCGGTTAAGCGTCCGACTTCAGCTCAGGTCGTGATCTCACAGTTCGTGGGTTCGAGCCCCACGTTGGGCTCTGTGCTGATGGCTAGCTCAGAGCCTGGAGCCTGTTTCGGATTCTGTGTCTCCCTCTCTCTCTGACCCTCCCCTGTTCATGCTGTCTCTCTCTCTCAGAAATAAATTAAAAATATTAAAAAAAAAAAATCAGGTCACCAGACTAGTATAGTGCTAACCCTTGAATGATTAGAATAACATGATTAACAACCACAACAAAAAGAATAACATGATTAACAACTTTGACTGACGTAAAACACTCCACCCAACAATTTTCCTCAAATGCACATAGAACATTTATAAAAAGTTAGCATGTGGTAGGCCATAAAGCCATTCTAAACAAATTTCAAAGGATTGAAATCATTTGGAATATTTTCTCTAACTACAATGTAATTAAGCTTGTAAAACAACACCAAAATGATAACTAGAAAAAACTTCATTTTAGGGCGCCTGGGTGGCTCAGTGGGCTAAGCATCCTACCCTTGATTTTGGCCCAGGCCATGATCTCACAGTTTGTGAATTTGAGCCCCACATCAGACTCTGCACTCTTATCATGGAGCCTGCTTGGGATTCATTCTCTCTCTCTCTCTCCTCTCCCTCCCTCCCTCCCCCTCTCTCTCTGTCCCTGCCCTACTCATGCTTGCTCTCTCTCTCTTAAATAAACATTTTTTTAAAAGGAAGGATGAAAATAAATATATAAGCAAGCATCTATATATATAGTTCTCTTTTTTCTAAAAAAATCTAGTGATTAGTATTCTGAAATGCTGGCTTCATACAATTAGCAGAGAAACTTTTCCTACTTTTCTGTCATCTATGAAAATTTATATAGTACCAGAGTCATCTGTACTATAAACGTTAGGTAGATGTCATTGAGCCTTGATGACTTTTTTCTTTTTAACTTTTTTTCATGGGAATTCAGAGTAGAGAGAACATTATAATCATACCCATCACTCAGCTTTCACAGTTATCAACTTGTGGCCGGTCAAGTTCATCATGCCTCTGCCACTTCTCATTTTTCTCTGGAGAATTTCATAGCACATCCAAGGCCTCTTGTCCTTAAACTTGTAAATATTCTATTGTGCCTTTCTAACTGATAAGGCCATTAAAAATTTATAACTAGTAGGCCATTTTCAAATGTATCAAAACGAATAATCTTTTATTTGATCCAAAACCCAGTGCATATTTATTTTTTTTCTAATATTGACAGTGTTTCCCTTAACATTGGATTGTTTGAGTTATGACCTGAATAATGTTTATTACATTTCCTTCTTACATGTCTTAGGTCTCTTTTATTCTTTAACATCCCTTCTTCCATTTCCTTTTTTTCCTCTTGTTACATTTCAACATGTTGCAGTAAGAATACAATCTTTCTTAATGAAAGATTCTTGCCAAAATAGTTAACTAGGGGGGCGCCTGGGTAGCTCAGTCGGTTAAGGGTCCAGCTTTGGCTCAGGTCATGATCTCACGGTTCATGGGTTCGAGCCCCGCGTCGGGCTCTGTGCTGACAGCTCAGAGCCTGGAGCCTGTTTCAGATTCTGTATCTCCCTCCCTCT